CACTGGTCAAAAATTGATAAAACATACACATATCAGGTACTCGATATGTGCATGGTGCGTCCCTAATATCGGGCATATATCGGATACCCGATATGTGTAGAAAATATTTTATATATATATTGGGTACCTGATAAGTATAAAAAAATATTTTCTACACATATCAGGTATCCGATATATGCCCGATATTAGGGACACACCATGCACATATCGGGTATCCAATATGTGTATGTTTTATCTATTTTCGACCAGTGGTTTTTCTTTAAATTAAAATAAATCTGTAAATATTAATACTATCTAGATAAGACATATATAATTTTATAGTCAAAAAATAATATTTTTCTTTCTATATTAGAAATACTTTAATAAAAAATCACTATATACTTTACAAATTATAAACAAAGTTAAAAAAATAAAAATTTCAGAAATTTATATATTTTTTTGAATTTACTTATAATTTATAAAATGTAAAGTGATTTTTTACTAAAATATTTCTAATATAGATAAAATAGCCTTGTTCTTGATTACAAAATAATATATGTTTCATTCAAATATCATTGATATTTGTAGATTTATTCCAGTTTAAATAAAACATTTGTAAAAAATTATGTGAAATTATATGAAAATCTGTATGTATAATTTTTCACAGACATTTTCTTTAAACTAAAATAATTTTATAAATATTGATACTATAGGAATAAAATATATATTATTTTGTAACCAACAACAAGATTATTTTATTTATATTAAAAATATTTTAATAAAAATTATTTTATGTCTTATAAATTACAAGTAAAGTCAAAAAAAAACAAAACTTTTGTAAATTTTGTAGATAATAAAAATTTGTACAAATTTTTGTCTTCTAAAATTTCTTGATAAATATAATTAAATTCTATTTTATTTAGTTTAAAATTTAAATATTATAATAATAATTAATCCTATTTTATCTAGATCAAATATTAATTTAAATAAAAACTTAATTGAAATTAGCTATAATAATCAAATCTATTTTATCTAATTTATATTTCAAATCAAATAAAATTAGATAAAATTGAATAAAATTTTTTTTAAAAATTATATGTTTTTACTTAGATATTCAATTTGCTTATAGAAATCTCTAAGTAAAAAAGCTAAAATTAAAGTAAGAGTAAGACAGATATAAGTAAAAGTAAATATTAAAATCATTAATAAAAAAGAGTAAAAATAATAATAAAGAAGGTGATAATAGATAAAAGAAGGATTATAAAAACAAAAATAAAAGGTAACAGAGTGTGATAGTTATAAGTGAAGATATAAAAATAAATCAAATAAAATTTATTCTTATTTTTAAAATTTCTTAATATTATTTTTGAAATTTAATTATTAAAATAAAAAGTTTATATGTAATAAAAATAATGAATTATTTTTGATTTATAATTTATAAAATAATTGTTAAAAGAAAAAATTGATTTATTTAAACTAATTATATTTAATAAATTAATTACAATAGTTATAATTAATTATATCAATTATAGTTAATTACATTAATTATGTCAGTTATAATTAATTACATTTGTTAAATAATTACATTAGTTAAAATAATTACATTATAGTTGTCAAAATTATTATGTCATATTATGTTTATTATAATGTTTTAATTAAATTAATTTTGACAAATATATTTTATACTATATAAACTTTATTTTAAACATGTATTAATTTATAGTTATTTTTTGCCTTCTGAAAAAAATAACTTAATCACAAGATCAACATAATTGTGAAAATATATATTATCATTTTTTCATTTTTGATAAATAAATTTTAATAGATAAAATAATTTGTTTTACTTTATAAAATCTTTAGAATTAAAAGGAAAATTATAGATTTAATCTGAAATTATATTTCTATTTATAATATTATTTTTTATTAATACTGTTGAAATATTTGATTTAGATAATTGTATCCATTTCATACTTTCTTTTTAATTTTGTAGTTTTTTTTTAAAACATAATAAGAAATTTAGTACTTGAAAATTACTAGACTTTATTAACAGTTCACTATTATTATTTTCAAATGATCTCTCAAAATGTCTCTATAAAATTATAGATTAATATAATTAATATTTACAATAAATATGATAAACCTGATTATACAAAAGTCATAAATTATTTATTTCAACAAATTCTCTATTTAAATCTTTAGAAAAGTCAAAAATCTTTTTTGTTTAAAAAACTATTTTAATATTATTATGAATTTTTTACTTTTTTTTTCTATTTGTATTAGATTCATTAATTCTTTTAAAAACTTTAATAAATATTTCTAAAATATCTTGTTTACTATTTGAAGTAAATTGAAATTCTGTATAATCTTTCAGATACCAGCATTATTAATAGTTTCTAACTCTCCTGTGAACAAGTCAGTAAAGTAACTTAACAGTTCTTTTAAGAAATTTATAGTCTTTTCTCAAAGGTAAGACTGTTATTTAGTTGTCTTAGAAATATCACTGATTTAATTATTTTAGAAAGAAAATCAGACCTTTTATTTAATTTATTTCAATATCTTTCAAGTTTATAATTACATTTAGTATTAATATTTGTTCATTAGTTATTTTTTAGTTTTATTATAGTTAAATATTATTTCAATTCTAGATTTTATGATAATAGTTTGTAATTAAGTTTATTAATTCAAGAATAATAATATTATATAATTATACTGTATATCCAATATTTCCTTATTAACTATTATATTTTTATATTTAATAATTATTTTTATAATTTTTATTTCATATTTCCAATATTATTTTTTTATTAATTCAATTATAGAGTAATTTTTATAAGTTTTTATCTTGGAGTTACAAATTATAAAATTAAATTTATTAATTTCAGATAAGTTACAAATTATCAAAATTCAAAATTATAAGATTGTAACTAAGGGGAGTGAGATAAATTCTTTCTCTTTTTATATTAATTTTTAATGACTTTTATTACTGTGTTACTACTGTACCTTACTGTACATTTTTACCATATTATTTGCTAATTATATTTACTATTAATTGATAATATATATAATAATTGTTTGTTATTTAATAGTATGTGATAATAGTTAATATTACATAACTATTAAATATATTATTTAAGCTATCATTAATTATTCTGAATGTATTCATATTAAATTTAAAATATTATTTCTTAATTATTTATATTTGTTATATAATACTGCATATTATATTAGTGTTATTTTATTCTGTTAGTTTAAGAAATTCTAGTCTTTACAATTAATGTCACTTGCAAATGTTAAAATATATTGACAAAAATCTATATTTTAAAAAAAACAACATATGATAATAATTTGAAAGATAATTAGTAACGAAATAAGACAATGCAATAGAAAGAAGAAGCTTTAACAAGAATCAATTTTTCATGTTTTTTTAAAAAATATCACATTATACAAAACTAATATTGTTAATAATCAATATTTTGTTATCAAAATATCATATTTACTATAACTCATGACCAAAAAAAAAAAATTCAATCAAATACTATTTTTTTTTGAAATTACAAGGCTATTAATGTAATTGGTGACGAATCTGCAAGGACATTGATATATAGTGAAATCAAATTACTTCCACTTGATATTACCAATGTAAACTTGTATAAAATAATTTTCAAAGCTAAATGAGTTTAAATATTATTTGAAGGATAAAAATAAATAAAATTAATATTGGTACAGATAAATCCTTTGTCGACGACTTAAATAAAGAATAGTATATTGTAAGACGGAGTAAAGTAGTTTTGTTGAGATTCCGCCTTCTCTAAAGTATTCATTCTAAAAAATCTATGATCTGATTCTCTCAACAATTTAAAAATTTCATAATCGTCATTTTTAAAGATAAATTTAATGTGAGCGTAGGACAGTTGTTATTTTATCTTTTTATATTTCGACACACATTACTTTACCCCTGAAATTTGTAACATAATTCAAAACGTTTTTACGTTTATTGTATTTCTTAAATTAAAATAATCTCATCATTTTCCCTTTATTTCCTCAATATATTAAATATGAATTCATATTCTTCATTACCTGTTTAAGGAGTTTTCTGGATGGATAGGAAATGTTGATCTGATCATAATATTACACGTTATTTATACGTTTTTATATGATACGTTATACAACATATGTACATATTTAATTATCAAAGCTTAATTCGTTATCTGTATGAAATTAAATCAACTTCAAAAAGAAAAATATGCGTATAATTAATCAATCTTTTGGTTTGCTGGTACATATTTTCGTCGAATTTACTATTAATAAACTTTTTTTTATTTAATAAAAATATGATATAGATAGTAAATTGATTATGTATTGTATTTGAATGAAATATCTATTCATAGAAACAAAGCTTTTTTGTCAAACTATTAAAAGAATTGAAACCGAAACTCCGGAATTGTTATTCTTTTAGGTTTCAACTAATTTGATTTAATAAATTTAAAAATAAACAAAAAAATAAATAGGACCAATATGGAATAAGTGATTAAACGTATAAAAGAAATCATCTCCTTTTTTCATTAATAAATATTTTTCCTTCTTTTGACCACCACTTCACGGATTAACATTTCCTTAAATCTTCAAAAAAATTATTCAACTGTTGAACGGTTGTAATTTAATTTCTTTCCTTAACAATCGTTATATTTCCTTCTATAAATAAAATATTAGATAAGATAAATAAACTCAAAACTCCCAATTTTCAGTATTTAGAAAATATCCTTTTTTTTTACATTAAAAAAAACGAATATTATTTTTTAAAGATTTAAAAAAGAAATATATAGAAAATTTATAAAATATCTAATAACATTTACAACATATACAACACATATAACATAATATAACATATACAACATACGCAAAATATACAAAATATACAAAAAATATACAAACAGTTATATTATTTTAAAAAAAAAAACTTTACATCATCATCATCATCATCATTATCATATATTTTTTTAAAAAAAAACAATAATTTAAATATGAAAGTCTCAATAATTATAGTCTCTGTATTAATAATTTCATTTTCAGTTATTATCACTCATCAAGCTCCTCTCAACAATGAAAATACCAATAGTACGGATAATAATGATTCAAGAAAGTGTAATGGATATTCAGAATTTTGTAATCGAAATTATTCATCTATAACATTTGTGGGAACTCATAATTCATATGCATCAGGAAGTCAAGCTGCGGCTAATCAAGTTTTCGATATTCCAACTCAATTAAAAGATGGAGTGAGAGCTTTTTCACTTGATGGTCATTATAAAAATGCTACGGATAAAACTTTAGAAATATGTCATACCAGTTGTGGTTTATTAGATGCTTATAGTATCGTAGAAGGTTTAAAGAATTTTACCACCTTTTTAGAAAATAATCCGAATGAAGTTATTACAATTTTTTGGGAAAATTTTGATAAAATTACTGCTAGTGAATATAAAGATGCTTACGATCAAGCAGATTTAACAAAATATGCTTATACACCAGAAAGTACAACTGAATGGCCTACTTTATCTTCATTAATTGATAGCGATAAACGACTTATTAATTTTATTGATACTGGATATGATTCTAGTGTTCCATGGTAATTTATTAATCCATTATTTTATTAATTATTATTTTATTATTATTATTTATTATTATTATTATTATTATTTATTAATTATTGTTATTATTATTATTATTTTATTAGGTTATTATCAGAATTTGAATATGTATTCGAAACTCCATTCGAAGTTTCCTCACCAGATTCTTTTACTTGTACAATCGATCGCCCAAAAGGAGGATTACAACGTCCTATGTATTTAATTAATCATTTCGTTCATAATACAGTAGTAATAGGTGGTAGTGATGTAGAAGTCGCACAAATTAGTACAGCTAATACAACTAATTCTAATAATCTTAAAGATCATATAGAAAAATGTCAAACTACATTTTCTAGAATACCAAATTTTGTGTTGGTAGATTTTTATGATAAAGGAATTATTGATGAAAATGGTAATAATGTCAATGTATTTTCTGTAGTAGCAGATATAAATAATGTAACTTATGTTTATAAAGAATTAGGAAATGATAATAATAGTAGTGATAAACCAAAAAAGAATGGAGGAAGTAGAATTAGTGATAAATTAATATCAAAGAATAGTATGTTTGCTTTATCTGTTATAATCGTTTTTGTAATATTTGGATTTTAAAAATTGCATTTGATTTATTTGATTTGCATTTGGAAAGAAAATAAAACCAATTGTTAAATAATTTAAAACAATTATTATTAAAAAAAAAAAAAAAATAATTAAAAAAAATAATTAAAAAAAATAATTAAAAAAAGTAATTAAAAGTGACTTTTAATAATAACGGAATAATAATTATGGAATAATTAAATACAATACAATAATAAAATACAAATAATACATACATTTCCAATACAAGTAAGTCGGAGATCAATTAATTATTTTGAAAACAAAGATTGTTTATTATTTACTATTTACATATTTATCGCGTAAACATTTAATAATAATTATTTAAAGTTTCATGTGATTCAAAACCACTATAAATTCAAGGAATGAAAAAGATTAATATCAATTTTTTCTCTTTATTGTTATTACCTTTGAAAAAAAAAAATATCATCTCAAATATCAAATATCCAATATTAAATATCTTAACTCAAAACAACGATAAAAACAAAATGCCTATAACCGACTTTCACCACGCAACTGAATTTTCTTCAGATATAAAAGACAACAACAACGAACAAGAACAACGACAGCAACCTTTTACTCCTCACCTTAGTAAAACAAGTAATACGGGAGGACATAATAAGATTATATATAATAACAATAATAATACAGTATATAATACGATGTTAACTTCGGAACGGTTCAATTGTTTACGTGTTAAATGTTTAAGTTCTAAAGCCAAGTTACCAATTCGTTGTTCTGATTTGGCTGCTGGATATGATTTATATAGGTAAAAATTATAATAATATTTTAAATATTTGAATATGTAAATTTTTAATACTTTTATGCCTTCTAACGCGTAGATATATATATGTATTTATGTATATATTTATTTATTTATTTTTTTTTTTTTTTATTTTTTTTTTTAAAAAAAAGTGCTGCAAATATTATTGTTCCTACTAAAGGGAGAGCTGTGATTCCTACAGATTTATCAATTGGAATACCTTCAGGAACTTATGGTCGTGTTGCTCCAAGGAGTGGATTAGGTAAAAATAATTTTTTTTTTTATTAATTAAAAATAAATAATAATAATTCATTCATTTAATAATATAATAATAATTAATTTAAATAAGCTGTCAAACAATTTATCGATGTTGGAGCGGGAGTTGTTGACGCCGATTTTCGTGGAGGCCTTACCGTACTTTTGTTTAACTTTGGTGACAAAGACTATCAAGGTACCAAAAAAATATATTGATATATCTACATACACAAATATAGTTAACGAATTACTAATATTAAATAATATATACATGTATAGTTCACGAAGGTGATCGTATCGCTCAACTTATTCTTGAACGAATTTGTACTCCAGAAGTCGTTCAAGTTGAAGAACTCGAAGATACAGTTCGTGGAAGTAAAGGATTTGGTTCTACGGGAATTTAATAAATAATTAATTGATCAAATTAATAATTCATTCTAAATGCGTAATTTATAGATGTAATTAATATTTGTTTTTTTCTTTTAAATAATAATTTGATAATAATTCTTGTAGAATAAAATTTATATTTTTTTAAAAAAAATTAGAAACTGAAGTTGTGTATTTATTTCTTTGTTTCGTTATTTATTTATTTTTTTTTTTACAAATGTTTTTTTAAAAAAATAATTATTATGATATATATCATAACAACCGATGAAAAGAAATTCTATATTCCGTCTCTTTTTTTTAAAAAAATAAAAATAAATGATAATTGATAATGTTTATTATAAAATGTCATGTATGATATAATATAATGTTATATAAAGAATTGTTTTTTAATGATAAAAGAGAAAAAAATAGTAGAAAATTCCGTTTCTCAAAGTTTAAATAAATAATATATATGTGTGTATAAATATTATTATTATTATTATTACCCAAACCAAAACTCTGATAAAATGACAAATGCAAAAAATTTAGAAATCATTTTTGCATAGCTTGTGTTGTAAATTGTAAATTGTAAACTTTAAGGGGGGGAGGGGAATCCATTTACTGTATATACAGATATATATGTAATTCTTGGTGGTGCATTGTTTTTTTTTCTTTTTTTTTTTCGATCACAGGAATTTTTTTTTGTAAATTTTTGCAAATATATATGCATTTTTTGGAGGGGTTTTTATAGAGAACCATCAATAATAATAATATAATAATAAACAGAAATAGTTAAAAAAGATTATTCTTTTTCTTCGAAAATTACTTTAATAAGATATTTTAAATACGTATATATATTTATATTTATATATATATATATATATATATATATACAAATTGTGAGATTTCGGATTCTCAATACATTTACTTATTATTATCATCTGGTGGCATCTAAAGAAAAAAAAAATATTATTAATAAAAAAATATTATTAATAAAAATAATAATAATAAAAAATGTTAATAGTATTTCTTTCTATATAATGCTTAAATGGTTAAAGTGTTTTATTGTTTGTTGTTAGAGTTGTTGTTATTGGGTTGTTGTGGTGTGTGTTATGGGGCATTTTATACTAGACATACATATAATCAATTAATTATTAATAATAATCTTCCTAGTATAATAAAATAAATTTATTCCCACTTTCTCATTTCCCCCTCCCCCCAAATGATGATGATGATGATGATGAAGATAGAAAACTACAATAAATTTGAGTGTATAATATACATATTTACCAAAATCATTCTGTGCAAATATTTTTTTTGCAGATATTTTTTTGAAAATGTGTTGTGTTACCAAAAAATAATAATAAAGAGATTTAGGTAAATGAGGTAAATGAGGTAATAGTAGTTTTTAGGTAAAAGTGGTTAGTGGTGATGGTGGTAGATGAAAGAAAAATTGGGTAAAATTTAGTAAAAATGGAGAAGGCAAATGAAAGTAAAAAATGAAGGTAGGTTGAAATTTCTAGAGAGAAAGATGAGAGAAAAGATGAGAGAAAAGATGAGAGAAAAGATGAGAGAAAAGATGAGAGAAAGATGAGAGAAAGATGAAAGAAAAATGAGGGAAAGATGAGTGAAAGGATGTAATGGATTTGAAATGATATGCAAAATAAAGGAGGGTAAAGTTTGCTTGTTTATTGGTGGCGGTTAGGATAGGATAGGAAAAGAAAAGGAAAGAGCGTAAATTGTGTATAGGAAAAGTGAATTAGGTAAAAAAAAAGTCTAAATCTAGTAAAGTCCTATAATAATAATAATAATAATAATAATAATATCATTATACCATCATCACTTCATCCCAAAAACACCAAATAAAAAGAAAAAATTTAAATAATAATATTGAAAGATAATGAAAGATATTTGAAAATTGTCTTTTAATGAGAGAAGAATTTTTTTTTTTTTTAAAAAATGCTAACTATATATACTTGGTCAAAATAATGTAACCAAGTTTAAATAATAATAATAATATTTAAATTAAAAAGTCAAAAGTTATATATCCATTATGATGAAGTGGATGAATTGTTTGAATTGTTCGAGCTATTTACGTTATTAAATTCAATAGATTCAATAGATTCAATAGATTCAATAGGTTTAATAGACTTGATCATAAAATCTAAGAATCGTTTGCCATACCATCGAGGATGTACAGCTGATATCATTTTCTATAAATTTAAAATAGGTAAAATTTATCAAAATTTGTCGAAATCGAAATTAAAGATAATTAGAAATATAGAAATATAAATACCTTATCATGATTGACGGATTTCCAAGCGTGCTCAATTTTTTTAACAGTATTGTAAGGTGTCAAAATATCAATTACTCCCAAATAATATATATAATTGGTTAAATTGTTATTTTCATCGGTACCAGCAAATCCACCATCATCCATGTAAAATATACAATTACGACGGCTATAAATAAATAAATAATAAATAAAATAATAAATAATAAATTAAATATTAAAAATACATATTAATTATTTTATTTCTATTATTTTAATTTATAAATTTAGGATCATCTTACTTGTTATGATCTAGTACAAGCTTGGTAGAAGAAGGTCCCAATTTAACTGGATCCGCTTGAACAACTACTTTACGTAATTTGGAGGCTTTACTTTCTCGTTTATGAGTTGATGGCGTACGTTCGATTTTCTTTGTGTTGGGCTAAAAAAAAAACAAAAACAAGATTATATATTATTATAATTTATTATTTTATATTTATATATATATATTATATATTATTATGAAATATTTTACATACTTGGAAAACAAAGAAAGTTTCACGAATATTATCCTTATTCCCTCGAGAAGTGTCATGCAAACCAACTAAGAGACTATAATCCATGATTTTCAATCTTTGAAGTAGCTAAAATAATTTAAAAATTAATTAAATTTAATTAAAATTTAAATTATTTAAAATTATTAAAATTATTAAAATTATTAAAATTATTAAAATTATTAAAATATATTGTCTTTACCGCAACATCTTTTTTAAGTTGTTCAACAAAAATCTTTTGTTTTTCAGGTCCAAATTCCAAACAACGATTGCGATTAACCCAATTTAAATCTTTAAGAACTGCCCGAGGGTTATTTACAGCAAGTTGTTCATTATATTCACGACCAACGGTTGAACCTTTTAAATCATATATTTCATGAATATCTCGATGGGGTGGGAAAATATTATTCATTACTACGAAATGAATTTTATGTCCATGAGGTAATTTAACTCGATGTAATCCGTAGAAACGAGAGAGGAGTGTATTCGGGTTATTCTTCACGTGCTATATTCCCAATAATTTTAAAGTAATTTAAATTAATTTAAATTAAACAATTCAAATTTTGAATATAAAAAAATAAATAAAAACTTGATTATATATATATTATATTTTATAATTAGTATACCTCATAATATTCCTTTAATATCTTACGCAAGAACTTATGTTCAGTATGATGTATCGTTTTAATGATAAACCGATAATCTCTTGAAAAATAAAAGAAACTTCCACTCTTTCCGGGTGAATTTAATTCGGATAAAATATATTTACTTGTTAAAGAAACTAAATAATCTGCGGCATCGATACTAAAGAATTCACGAAGGTGACGGAAAACCCACGGTGCATAATCTTTGAATTTAAAATCATATTTTGCTGAAGGTGTAAGTTCATTTCCAGTTCTATAATAATAATAATAATAATAATAATAATAATAATAATAATAATAATAATAATAATAATAATAATAATAATAATA